AAACAGAGTCTGCTTTATCAGTTTCTCTTGTTTCAGTTTCAGTTTGTGCATGTACAGCAGAGGAAGAATGTATGTATATATGCAAAGCACATACAGAGATTGTGTTTTTAAAACCAGAAACCTAACCATACACACTGCGAGAGGCACAAAAACACAAACTCAAAACACACAAACCTCCATTTGCCTTAAAAGGAAACCGAGCCAGAATACACAAACACACACAAACACACTATTCTCAACCAATAACAAACCCATGCATCTTTCAGAGGCAGGGTTGTGTCTAAGTAAGACGATAATGGCCACGAATGAGTGCTTCTGTACACAGACAAAGAGGAAAGAGGCTCCAGGCAGGACTGCAGTCGGTCAAAGGTCACCTGGTGGCCAAAGGTCAAAACAGGGATCACGCCGAGCTCGACACAGCTCAGTCTTACATCCGAATTACACACAACTGCTTTCACTCATCTAAATTTTAATGCATACTTTAACCCGCAGAAAGAAGATTTTATTAGTTTGTCAAATAAGAAGTGCAGTGCATGCACAGCGCTTGTGAGTCTGCAAAGATAAGATGTGTGGTGAGCTGCCCTCGGGTTTTGCCTGCTGTATAATGCATCAGTCAGGAAGTCTTCGTCAGGAGCCCAGAGGGACAGACTCGGTGGCCCTTCCAGCTCCACGCCGGGCGCCTGGTTTCACACCACACGAGGGAGATATCAATAATAGAGGACAGCGCCCAGATTGCAGCACTACAGAGCACCGTCTTACCAAGGTGTGCCTTGTCAAGGTCCGTCATTTACGCTGTGCTAATTTCACCTAGAGAGCAAATGCTCATATGAGTGTGTCTGCCTGAGGATATTACTGTACACGTGTTTGTTTGGAAGATGACAGACGGGACAGGCCATGCCCTCAAATCACAGTTTTCATTCATTTTTTGTGGAGCACACACATATATAGAGGTGATCAATGTTTGATCTTTTTCAGGGCTAAAAATGAAACTCCTAAACGGTTTTCATTTATTGGTATTAAATCACTTTGTAAGTAAGAACTTTTTATTTAACTATTTATTCGTTTTTGGTGGCGCCCTCTAACGTGTGCATATGTAGGAAGAAAGGGGGACGAGATGGCTGCTTCTACATACTCCTCTCTCTCAACCAGGAGCATGTGACACACTGAGATCTGCACATCATTTGCTCTGTGGGCCTCTGTGACCTGTAGTCACCCATAACACCTTTCTCTGCAGGGATGTTTGCATGTATATTTGGAGAAACATAATTTGTCAACATTCTGACATTCACCAGCGGCCGAGTCAACTTCCATCTTTTCTTTTTCTTTTTCCCCTCAAACAGTTTCACACATCTGTAACATCACAACACACAAATACACTGCCTACCTTTGGGGGATACACTGCGTAACTTCTTGCTTTCAGAGGGACACTCGCTGCTGCTGTTGGGAGAGAAGCTTCTCCTCTTGCCTAGAAGGTCATCTGTAAACACACACGGAAACCAATCAGAAACAAAAACCAGAGTAAAGACTCGATATTGCCGCTCTCCTGTGTCTCTACCTGTGTGCATGGTGGCTGCTTTGGAAATGGTAGAAGAAAGAGAGACGTGCGAGTGAAAAAATAACCAAAGAGGAGGAGAGAAAGATGAAAAACAGAAGAGTGAAACAAGGCACGGGCGTCTGGAGAGGTGCATATTCTGTCTGTCAGAGAAAAGAGAGGCCCTGCACTGCCGTGGATGACGGATC